ATCCATGAGATAACGAGATTATTGCAGCGAATCCATTGTTGATACAAAGGAGAATTTGGATCTGGTGCTTTCGTAGAACCAGTAACGAATCCTAGTTTGTTTCTCGCGCTTAGGGCTATCTCAGCAGATCTTCTCCATTGCGAGAAGTTCTCAGCATTCAATTTCTGAGAAGCGAGAACAAAACTAGGAGATTCTGTAGGATGCAAATACAAATACAGTTCGCTGTGTATATCAATCGATCCTCGAGTGTTTGAGTTTTCTTCCGCCATTAAAGCTGAAACGAAACTGGAGAAGAACAAATTCACAGAGAAAGGTAGAACAGAGAAGAACCTCGAGGAAGAATTGCGATTTCAGGCTGATGAATCACAATCGGAAAGAAATCAAAGAAAAATCTCAATTTCTGATCTCAATTTCGCCATTGAAGTCGGCTCCGATACCATGATAAAATGCATTGGAGAAAAGGATTGAGAAAAACGAAAGAGAATAAAATCTTTATTGAAGCTTTAGCAATGGAGATCCTTCTTACATTTCTGTTGCATATTCTGTTACCTCTACTGAAGATACAAAAACAACTATATATAGAATAGCAAGGAGAGAAGAAGAGAGAAACTAAACATCCGTAAAATAAGGAGAGGAAGTTGGATAAATTTAACAACTGGCCGTGACAGGTGGCAACTCCAGATTATTCTTCACTAAGTGATCTGCCAAGTTGTGAACTATGTGGGTATCGTGAAATTTAAATGCATGAATGTAGAATTAGTGACTCGAAATATTTGAATCATAGGGTCACATTTTAAAAATTTATATCCAACCGTCACGATTCTAACATTAAGTGAACAGTACTCCATAATATACGGAGTATAACATTAAAATTTACATATATTATAGAAATTACAAATTTTGGTGCCTTTTTAAAATTTGATTTAAAAAGAGGTATATAAACATTTTTTCACTAAAAATGAAAACAAAACAGAGAAAATACTATCTCTTTCAAATATTTTTTTGGAATTATTATATCAAATATTTTTAAAATATTATTTTATCTAATTAATATACAATATATATTTTATTTAAAATACCTTTGCATCCTATATTGAAAATTAAATAATTAAAAACATTATAGACTTAAAAAAATAACCTAATTATTTTAACATATTGAGATTATTGACAAATCCCAATCTTACAAAATAAATAAACAAATTCAATTCCCAATTAAAATTAAAATATTCACAATTTACAAATAAAAAACGAAAATTCTAGTTTAGATTCAATTATTTCAAGAAAAAAACCTGGCAATGTGGCAATAGAAGATGAAGATCTGATTGAGTAATTGGCGGTGTCAATGTTGTGTCGCCGGATTCAGGCGTTTAGGCGGCGGAGCTCTGACCGTCCAAAGTCGGTGACAGAGGTGGCTGGGGCAAAATTATAGATTGGGTTGAGAGTTTGGGACAAAATGAGCGCTTGGGGCTGGGAATTGGGAGTTGGTCGCCTTAAAAAAATTAGCCTTAAGCAGGAATCGAAGGGTGTCCAAGTTTGCATCACGTAGCGTTTTGTAACTTATATACTAAGTATAAGTATACACCTAAACATTTATATATATAGGTAAAAAAATTTAAAAATTTTTGTGGGGTCGATTGACCCCGTGTGACTCAACGTGGGTCCACCCCTGGTACTAACTTTGTACTCTTTACAATAGTTTTCTATCTTTGAATATAAAGAAGTATGAATAAAATATATTTTCTAGACTCAAAAATTTATTTTTAGGCTAATCAATACATTACACTTAAAAAATATGGGGTCTCTTAAACTTAGGAGGCCCGGGGTTGTCGCCCGCCCCGACCTCCCTCATGTCCAGCACTGAATGGAAAATGAGCCCTACTTTGCTACCCCCGTAGTTTATAAAACAGACAGTAATATCCCATCTTTACTGGAAAATGACCAGACAATAGCCAAAAAATAATCAAAGAGGGTGTGTATACAATATCTTGAGACCATAGGGATTTTATTAGTATGTTTTGAAAATAGAATGGATATTTATCTCATTTTCTAATCGACAAGGGGTATTGAAGCTATTAGGCCTAAGACTATGGGGGTACATATCGGATATGGATCTCTCCATCCCCTCTTCGCCTTCTGTTAACTTTTTCTTTTAGTTCCTCTTCCCTTCTCCAAAGGTGTGGTTTCCCTTCCCTCCCCCGGCCCTTTTCCTTCTATTTTTTTATTTAAGATAATAAAATTAAAAAAATAAATATAGAAAAATTTATAGAAAAAAAATTAAATTTTGAAAAAATTTGAACAATTAAAAAAGGATAATGCTATTTGTACCCCGTACCTCATTTTGTACATCGCAGGGATGTACCAACATTTTGTGTTGGTGTCATGCTAATTTTTGTTAACGCACCAACATTTTGTATCAGTGTAAATTTTTGTTAATGCACTAACACTTTGTGTCAGTTTGAACCATCAAAATATTAGTGCATATTTTTGGTGTATAAAGGAGATACAAATTTTGGGATATATACATGTAGCAGATTAAAAAATATTCTGGGGTATAAAAGATTTATTTTGAGATAGAAAATTTACTCCGTATTTACTCTACATGGTAAAATGCTAAAAATAACGTACGTTGAATTTGATGCGTCATTTTCCCTAATTTTTTTTGTCACTCTCTGCCTTGAGAATTATGTCACGGCCCTATTCAATTTAATTAACACACCGCCACGTCTGACGACACCACCAATTTTTCAATATAGGATTTACTCCATTTTATATTAATTGTTTTTAGAAAACACCAAAGATAGAAATATAATAATGAAATCACAAATGAAAGAAAATATAAAACGGCCAAAAATAATAAAAATAAAAAAACAGCAAAGACTCTTGCATGCAATAGTGTAATGTAGAGCTGCCACATATATGGGTTTGCATGACAATCTCAAATATTATGCAGCCACGCATCCCACTGCCCATACCTTACACCATCATGTTCCCCACCCCCACCCCACCCCCACACCCACCCGCACCCCATCCACCGCTGTCTCTATATATAAACCTTTACATACACTGCTCCAATTCATACATGTATTCATCATTTTAGAGAGAGAGAGAGAGGGGAGAAAGATAGAGAAATGGGAAGTGACTGTGGAGGAGAGAGTTATCATAAGTTTCACGCCACCCACCAACTCTATCTTAACAAGAAGTACCTTAGAGACCCTGAAATTCCTCCGAGGAAGCTCGTCGGCGGCCGCCGGACTGCCTCCACCGCCGCCGACCCCGACCCTTTCATCGATTCTCCGACGAAGGCGGAGGCCGAAACCCGTTTCCAGAAATACTTGCCCTACAACAATAGCGACGACGACGGTGACGGCGAGGGCGACGATCCGTACTCTTCCGATACTTTTCGGATGTTCGAGTTCAAGGTGCGGCGGTGCACGCGCAGTCGGAGCCACGATTGGACCGACTGCCCGTTCGCCCACCCCGGCGAGAAAGCTCGCCGGAGGGATCCCCGGAAGTTCCACTATTCCGGAACTGTGTGTTCAGAGTTTCGGAAAGGGAACTGCCTCCGGGGGGAGGGGTGCGAGTACGCACACGGCGTGTTCGAGTGCTGGCTCCACCCGAACCGGTACCGGACCGAGGCGTGTAAGGACGGGAAGAATTGCAAGCGGAAGGTTTGTTTCTTCGCCCACACGTCCCGGCAGCTGCGCGTCATGCCACCGGAGGGCTTCGAGAATTTTCCGGCGGTGGCCGCTCCCGCCCCCGCCGGCAACCACTGCTGCCTGTGCTGCCACTCTCCGAACTCAACGCTCTTGGCAGCGGGAATCTCCCACATGTCGCCGCCGGTATCTCCGTCCCTCCCATCGCCCCTCTCTCCGGCAAAAGCCCCATTTTCTAGATTCGGCGGCGGGCATGAGGCCGAACAGCTGGTGAGCTCTTTTGAATCCATGAATGTTAATGGAGGTAATAATAATAATAATAACAACACTCCCTATAATTATTTTAATAATAATAATAATAATGCTGAGGATCATCAGCAGCATTTTATTCTTTCTCCGTCGACTCCGGCTGCCGGAGGCGGCGGCAGGGGAGGAGCCACCACGAAGCTGTATAACGACAGCGGATTGCCTGGGATTGATTTGGCGTGGGTCAACGACCTGCTGACCTAATAAAACCAGATTTTCAAGAAAATTGATTAATTAAAGTGGTCCAAGCCGGTCATTATAATTAATTAATTAATTAATGGGTAATTAAGATTAAGCTTGTTGGATAAGGATGGGAGATGATCGAAGTTATGTATATAGATCAGAATTGAGAGAGGGGAGGGGAGAATTGAAGATGAAGCTGGCCTGGTGATGATGGATGGGTGGTGCATGCATCTCCTAATTTTAATTACAGTATTATTTAATTAATGATGTCACTGAATTGTTTTCATAATTTAATTTCCCGTGGATTATTAGCCTAATTGTGCATTATTGTTATTATTGTATTGGGTCATTTTTAATTAATTGTAATCTTCGATGGTTGTGTGCGAGTGGCTTCTGATTTCAAGTTTGTAGTGGTTATATTTTGCTGTAATTTAATTTGTTCATCAAGGATGGGATAGACTCTCTCTTCCTCAATTAAGTTTTCAATTTATTATTTCATTCTAAACTAAGTTGTCTCTTTATTATTTATGAATCAAATTTCATGTTTCTTTATTTTCGTTACGCATTTGATAAAATAATATAGTCATGTCATTTCTTATTTCTTATATTTTTTATATAATTTTTTAATATATCAATTTTATTTTTTAATATATCCTTTTCCAATTTTCAAATGAATTGTATAAAAACTAATCTCGGTCAAACATCGTAAATCGAAACAAGCGATTTAAATTAAGACATAGAAAATAGTTATTTATTACTCCATGACATTAATTATACTTATGATATATGAATAACAATCATCAGTTATAATTATTCTTCTTTATGTTGTTATACTCTCTTAGTCCTTCCTAAATTAGAGCACTGAAAAATATGTTTGACCTTTGGGGTTTCAAATTTTTTCTATCACATCAATTTTAACCACCATTAATTTATCTCATAGTTTCACTGAAAATGAATTTAAAGTCTTGAGATTTTAAATTGATGCTTCAAAACATTATTTTTTTTAAATCTTTTAGTACACATTTTACAAAATTAAATTAATAAGATTTCATTAATTCATTGAATTTAAACGACAGTAAGATGAACTTCGTGTTGATATCTCTTCGACACACATCTCACATTTGTGGGACATGACGATGCCAAATTTAGAGATAAATTCCATGTTAATTTATGAAGAGATGCATAATTAACATGTTGTAGTCTATCATGTCATAAAAAAATTTTTTATTAACTTTTCTCAACAGCAGTGAGTACATCAAACACCATGGAGGAACTGACACGAAGTTTTTGCATATGTCTGGCACATACAACACGCTATTAAGGGTGAACTCCTTGTCGGATGTCATCTTGAGCTTAACTTTGTCCAAATTTTGACCCTCGAATTAGATGAAGTTTCCCATTTACACCTTATTGTGAGAAGTTTCCTTGAAGTCAAAGAGCATGACCCGATTAAGCAGAAGGCCTCATCCTTCTTTTGCTAGTTCTTCTAATGCTTTTACGACACTCTGAAGAACAATGACCCGTGATGCCACAGTTTAACATTTTTCCGCAAACTTAGTCTTTGTGACACTTCCTTTAAAGTCATGATGAGGATTGATGGAACAGAGATGATGAAGCTGAGAGTGATGAACTTGAAGATGTAGACAGTGACGAGCATTGAAGCTTTGGACTATATCTTCCATATCAATGCGTATTTTAATTTAGTTCACTTTGATTGTTTATACTTTAGCTTGAAACATACGCAAATGATGAACTAATTTTGAGACGTTGGTTTACTTACTAGTAAATGGGTTAGTTGTAATCCTTTGAAATGTTATCGTATTATGTATTATTGTTAATACAAGTATTAGTATTATTCTTTTATTTTTTTATTAGTATTACTGATAGAAAAAAATGTTTTACCCACACAATTTTTTGTCGGTAATCCAACTTTTAGCGACAATTATAATAAATGTTAATGTTGGTAAAAACAAGGTATTACTGACAGAAAAGAAGGATTTACCAACACTATTTTTTTGTTGGTAATCCATGTTTTAGCGACATATATATTTTGTTGGTACTCTTCTCCTTTTTAGTGACATCTTTGGTCTGTCGTTATTACACTATTTTAGCGACAGTATGTTTTATCTGTCGGTAATACTTTTACTGACGGAGTTTTTAGCGACAGCGTAGCGACAGACAATTATCTGTCGGTAAAAGCGAGTAGCGACAGATATTCAACCTTTAGCGACATATTAACCCCTATCGGTATTGCCTCCTTTTTTGTAGTGAACCATCTTTGGATGGATGCTCAACCACATTGTCTTTACTAGGAGCTACTTTCTTCTCGCGAGCAAGACCCTCTTCATAGATTCCGAGACAACCAAGAAACTATTCCAAGGCCATTTCTTTTTGTTTGATCTTTACATAGCTTCGGAAGTCATCCCAAGCCAGCGGCAGCACATAAATGATAGCTACTACATGGAAGGTCTCACTGACTCCCATTCTCTTGTTAGTGCACTCATTAAATGACGACCGATTCTTCAAATTTACTGGCAACGTGTTTGAAATCCAACATCTTAAAATTTAAAACCTTACTGAAAATGAATTTCTTCACACCGGCATCCTTGGCCTGTTATTTATTGGATAATGAAGTTCATGACTACTTTGTGGATACTGCCTTGCAATAAACTGTATACAAGACATTGCTCACACAATTCAAAATAAAGTTAAGGCACAGAGTGGCGGACCTAAGATTAATAAAGAGTGGTGTCAATTTTTAATATACTATTATTGTTCCATATAAAAAATTATAATATATATATATATATATAATATCCATAAATAAAAAAAGGACTTCTATTGTTTTTAAACTAAAATAATTTTCTTTGATAATATTTCATCTCTTATTTTATATTTTTTAATTTTATAATTGACTTCACCGTTAATAAGCTATCAATGTTTTTCTCATTTTTATACATTAATTATTATTACAATAAAATAATTAAATTAACTTCGATGTAGCTTGTGCTTATGAAAATAAACTATACATTTTTATTTATTCTGTTGCAATATAAAATTTAACATTTTTCCATATCACCAAATCATAAATCGTGACGGAAAGGGTTAAAAAAGTATTGTATATTTCTAAAAGAAAAGAGAGACAATACTGCTCCCTTGAAGAAAAATACTACATGCAGTTATACTTATACAATGTTAATGATGTCGCTTGATTTTAATAGACCTTGTGAAGGTGTGCTCCTGGATCGGAGTGACTCCGACTAACCCTACTCAGATTAGTGTCGGTCCATCCCTGAAGGCACATAAAGTTATTCACTTTCCACACCTCACTAGCTTGAAATGTTGGCTCGTTCACATTTTTCTTCACAATAGGGGGATTCTCCTTCAAGTACCTCACAAGGTTGAGAGTGGTTAGCAAAAATAGTATAATCTACTGCCATATTTTAAAATCGACTCCTGTGAGCTTTGTCGATTTCTTGACTGAGTTCGTAGGCATTGTGATAGTAGGATTCTCGAGCGGTACGAATGCAAAGGCACCCATGTTTGGTCTGAAAGAGGGAATGATCAATGCAGCAAAAATCGTGTGTGGTCCTAAAGAGTTGAACGGAATAGCTAAAGCCATGTTACATTTGGGTGGGGTGATAGTTGCGGCTGTTGCACAGTTGGTCCTACAAAAGTGGTGAATGAAGTGGATCCTATAGTCATGCTTGGTACAACGATGGTGGTGATCATAGTTGACCCCACGGTCCAAAAGAAAAATAATCGGATGGTATGTTGGGTCAAAAATCTTACAACACACATGGAATCTTATACTCCTTCCGTTCCACAAAACCCTTCCTCTTTCGTTTTTTTTTGCTTTCCACAAAATACTTCCATTTTCTATTAAAAAAACCACTTTTACTCCTACTTTTTCATATTCCACCTATCACATCATACTTTTTCACTAAATAACCAAACTATCACATCTTACTTTTTTCCATCACATCAGTGGCAAAATTGGAAACTCAACCAAAATTACAATTTCCTTATAATTTTTCCCTAAAGTCAAAACCGGAAGGGTTTTGTGAAACGGAAGGAGTATAAACTTAACGCTATCAACCTTAAAATGGTTATGACATAAGTTACTAGGGTAATATATATCTTTTTCCCCTCTTTTGAATGTTTCCCTATGAAACGAATAAACTCCTTCAAACCAAAACTAAACTCAGGTGATGTACGCGGCATATCAATCCATCACATGAATTGGTAGGCAAAAAATGAAGAACGACAATGGGTTGGATACAAAACAATGCACAACATAATTAACACTCATTTCACATATATTCACATACATATAACAAATGCAGGCAACACAATATTTTATTTCTTATGATGTAACAAAAATCCAGAAGTATTTCTTCATTATACAAATGGCCCTTCTAATCCTTTTTTACTCCATCCTAACTCAATCTTGAAACGTCACCCTCACTAGTAAATGTATTGCATTTACTTTTGATCTATCAAAATTTAGGCATCATTTCCCAATAGTTCTTCAAGTGCACGATGTAATGTAGTTACATATGCACTTAAAGAACACATTTCGGAAGGGTCAAACCAAAAAAATGATAGAACAAAAAAAGAAATACATTCAGCATCTAAGTGAGAAAAGCATTTCAAAACAGCTCCAAATTGGTCAATATATGTTATTTCTACATAAAAGTATCTCAAATCATGTAGCATCCAACAAACAAATAATATTCAATGTATATTCTGTTAGCATCAAAAAGTAAACAAAGAATAAATAAACAATATAGCATCACATATTCTATTAATACAAGAATATACAAATTAAATAATTTATAACATCACATATTTTATTAATACAAGAATATACAAAAAATTAAAATTATATTTAGGATTTAAGGAAAAAACACTAAAATAAACTATGATATAGCATCAAATATTCAACTAATTAAAAAATGTACAAATAAATAATAGTATAATTTATGATTTAAAGTGAAGTATTGAAAAAAAATACCTAAGAATGGCGAATTGAAGGTGGTGGTGGCGGCGGGGGGACGGTGGCGCTGGAGAACAATGGAGATGGCGTTGGCGGTGGATGGTGACATTAGAGCACTGGGTATACTCCTCACGCCCACTGGCGTTACGGGGCGTTTAACGCCCCGGGGGCGTGAAACACCGCCCCCGCCGGCGTTAAAGGGGCGTGAGGAGCCCTGCGTCAAACGAATGCGGCGTGAGTCTTCTCCCCTCCCTCCTAACGGCTTTTTTAGCCGTTGCAGCCCACATTTCAAAAAAAAAAAAATCCTATAAATTCAACCCTCAACCAATCTCTCACACCTTCTCTTCAATCTCTTCTTCTTTCTTATTTTTAAATTTCAAAATTCAAACCCCCCCTCCCAATTTTCAACATGAATCCTTCCGGCTCCGGCTTCTTTCCCGACGATCTCCCGCCCGTCGACGCCGCGATGTGGTATTACCAAGAGTTGGGCGATCGACCGCCGATGTACGAGACGCACTAGTCGGGGTACGTCGACCGAGATTCGGTTCCGGAGACTCAACCGGAACCGTCCGGATCGAAAAAAAGTACACGCCGGAAAAGCCACAAAGCCAAAAGCACGTTGACCGAGGCGGCACGGTCAATCCAAAAGTAGACGCCGGAGGAGGAGTGCATATTGGCGTCGGCTTGGGTTGACGTCTCCGAGCATCCTATCATTGGTTAAAAATTTATTTTTTGTAATATATTTATGTTTTTATTTTTATATATTATATTTAATGGTGTCTAAAAAAATTGTGCAATACATTTTTAAAGGTACGGAGCAAACGAAGGATGCGATGTGGGATCGTATCGAGGAGAAGTTCTTCACGGCGATGAAGAAGGACGGCTCCTACCGAACCCGGGACCAACTCACTTCCAAATGGAGCCACATCAACAAAAAAGTCCGAAAGTTTATGGGAGTTTACGAGGGATGCTCCCGGTCCCGGAGGAGCGGCACGAACGACGCCGATGTTCTCCGGCTTGCCACGACCCGGTATCAAGACGACGGGAACCAAGGCAAGGTGCCCATCGATCTTTGGAGGATTTTGAGTCGTTCCCCGAAGTGGCAACAACTCAACAATCCCGACGGCGGATCGTTCCGGAAAAGATCCACCGTCGACGCCGAGGTTGAGGTCGACGAGACTATCGGTTCTAGCGATCAAATCCCTCCCTTCAACGTTGCGGATTCCGATGACGAGGACCCCATTCCACGGCCGATCGGAAGAAAGAAGGCAAAATCCATTGCCTCGGGTTCGGGAGGGTCCGCCNAAGAGAGGTTGAAGCTAAAGGAGAAGGAGTTGAAGCTAAAGGAGCAGGAGGCTGAGATGAAAGTCATGCAAACCGACCCCGGGACGTTGTCGGAGTTTGGACGAATGATCTATGAGCAAAGAATGAGAGAGATCAAGGAGAAATATAATTTACCTTAGTTTTTTTATTAATGTATCGTTTTTTAAATTATTGACGCTTTTTTATATTTAATGAATGTATTTTTTTTATTATTCGTGTTTCAATTTAATTAAATAATAAATTAATTACATTTTATTAATTTAATTTTAGAAGATGTATATTTAAAAATGTAAAAAATGAAGGTTTGAAGCCCAATTTTGAAGCCCCGGGGCTTCAAACCCATTTCCAGTGAATTTTGGGTGTAAGTTAAAACTGACGTGGCAGAGAGAGAAAGTTTGAAGCCGCGGGGCTTCATAACCATTACCAGTGCTCTTAGGTAGGATCTTAATGTGGAGGCTCAGTGCAAGTTGAAAATAGTAAAAAAAAAAAAAGGAAAGGAAAGAGATATTACTCGAACCGTACAAGCTGCAGCACCCTCTTCTTCTCGGTGCTAGCGGCAAATTAAAGACAATTGACGTACGACAAGCTTTCTCTTGTTTGGCAAAGATGATGTCGATACCCTAAAACAAGGTGGCTCAACATCCATTGAAACCCAGAACTCTACGATGTCGCCAGCACCACAGAATCATCTCCGATCCTCTAGTTCAAACAGGTGCCGCTTCTTAATACTCCCACGCACTGTCTCCCAATCATGTCAATTTACTTTTGATATTGCAAAGCGAAGCAATCTTTCTTTGTGGATTTTGTTCGTAGATTTGAAAATTTTGTTGTTTTGATCAAAAATCCAAAATTTTCCTCAATTTGCAATTCAATTATTTTAGAAGATCACAATTTTCTTTTTTGTAGATTTTGCTGGTAGAGTACAAATTATACCGTTAATTAAATATTAAAATAATAAAATATTATAAAAGTATATTATATAAAAGATATGATTGGAGTGAGTGTAAAAAAATGAATTGCTAAAACACTATTGGAAAGCTAAAAAGGCAAATAGAAGACCAAAAAATAGCTCTCCCCTTGAAGATGCTCTTAGAAGTTGGAACTCTCTGAAGAAACAATGGAGAGTGTCAGTACTAATCACACCTAAATTTCAACCACCTCATCTCCTAATCTATCCCTCATTGCCTCCCACTAGACTTGTACCCGTACGTTGCACGGCCTAATTATAAATTATATAAGGAAAAATTACCCAAAACAATCCCAACTTTACCTGGTCTTTCAAAAATAATCCTACCTTTCACTGTGATGCACAATAATCCCAACTTTACAGAAATTTGTCAGTTTTGGGTCGCCGTTAAGTTTCTAACGGTGGGTTAACGGAAATGCCCGTTTTAGGCAACAAAATGAAAGTTGGGATTATTTTTGAAAAATTTTCATTTTTTTTTAAATTTTTCATTTAAATTTTTTAAATTACTTTCTACCTCCATCATCATTTCTTTATCCTTTTTTAAAGATTAGTCTTAGTTTAAAAAATAAAAAAATAGATATAAAAAATGAAAAAATGAGAAATGTAACTAAAATGATACACAAATAATAAAATAAATAAGGTAATCAATGGAAACTAACTTGAAATTGAATTGGTAAAAGTAAAATAAAAATATACAGGTGGTTTTAATATTTAACGCATTATACAAAATATTAACATATCACTTCTTATTTTTTAGAAAAAATTATCTACAATAATTTTAACTTTATCGGACGGCTTGTTCTTTTAAAAAATAAGTAGTACATTAAGACTCTGTATAGTGTGTAAAATATTAAAATCCACCACTCCGTATATATTTATTTTATTTCTTACCAATTTCTGTTTAATTTCTATTGATTACATTATTTATTTGATTAATTTTGTATGGTTTAAGTTATTTTTCTCATTTTCATTATTTTTTATATCTATTTTTTTTCTAAGGTAAGAATAATCTTTAAAAAAGAAAAAGAAATGGAGGTTGAAAGTAATTCAAAAAATTTAAATAAAAATTTAAAAAAAAATTAAAAAACAAAAATTCATCAAAAATAATCCCAACTTTCATTTTGTTGCCTAAAACGAGCATTTCCGTTAACCCTCCGTTAGAAACTTAACGGCGACCCAAAACTGGCAAATTTCAGTAAAGTTGGGAGCATAACAGTGAAAGGTGGGATTATTTTTGAAAGACCGGATAAAGTTGGAATTATTTTAGGTAATTTTTCCATTATATAATTAGGGAAGACATTGATGAAATAAAATGATAAAATTAAATTATAATAATAACATATAATCAAATATTAAAAAATTGCGAATACTATACATGTTCATCATGAATGATCACTTCCATCGAATCTCCTCCTTTTGTCCAAGCTGGAAGAAAGTAGACATGAACGACTCGTAACAAAAGCATCCAAGTAGTTCGACTATTGTCAATCTTAACAAGCGCATTCCACATACTCTCTGAGTGTTTTGAGTCATTTTTCAAAAGTGGGCTGAATTCATATAAGAGGTCTGAAATGTTTGGAGTAAAAGTAGTATATTAATTGGATAATCAATCTACCCATTTAATGTCTTGATTTAGTGAATCCATATATTTAATATTATTTGACATAAAGTATTCATGGAGCCACGTACCAATTTTGTTATGCAGGTGGTTCTAAAGCAATACACTACCGAGTTATTTATCTTGATTTGACATAGAGTTTATACCGAGCCACACACCAACATTACGATGCATGTAGTTCAATATCAATACACTACCCATTTATTTATTTTGATTTGACATAAAGTTTACATTGAATCACACACTAACTTTAATGCGCACGTGGTTTTATAGCAATACAATACCCATTGAATTATTTTGATTTGACATAAAGTTTGCATCGAGCCAGGTACCAACATTACTATGCACGTGGTTCCATATCAATACACTACCCATTTATTTATTTTGATTTGACATAAAGTTTGCATCGAGTCATGCACCAAGTTTACTACGCACGTGGTTCCATAGTAATACACTACCAATTTATTTATTTTAATTTGACATAAAGTTTGCATCGAGCCATGCGCAGACATTACTACGCACACGGTTCCATATCAATACAGTACTTATTTATTTATTTTGATTTGACATAAAGTTTGCATTGAGTCATGCACCAATTTTACTATGCACGCGGTTCCATAGCAATACACTACCCTTTTGTTTATTTTTATTTGACATAAAGTTTGCATCGAGCCACGTACCAACATTACTATGCACGTGGTTCCATATCAATACACTACCCATTTATTTATTTTGATTTGACATAAAGTCTGCATCGAGTCGATCATGCACCAACTTTACTACGCACGTGGTTCCATAGCAATAGACTACTCATTTATTTATTGTGATTTGACAAAAAGTTTGCATTGAGCCACGAAACAACATTACTACGCACACGCTTTCATATCAATACAATACCCATTTATTTATTTTGATTTGACATAAAGTTTGCATCGAGTCACGCACCAACATTACTACGCACGTGGTTCCATAACAATACACTATCGATTTATTTATTTTGATTTGACAAAAAAATTACATCGAGTCACACACCAACTTTATAACGCACGTGGTTTCATATCAATACACTACCCGTCAATTAGGCTCAATTCGGTAGGCCCAAACCCAGTTGGATATTCCATTAATTTAGGCGAGAACACTATTCAAAAAATCATCCTAGCTTTGTATATAGTTAGATTCTTCTTTTAATTCTTATTATTGTCTTGCATTACCACCAAACCTCGGAACCGTCATCCTAATAAATCCAACAATTACCGCAAGTTCCAGTCGATCATTATTGATGAATAAGCAATTCTCTCCTTTTACCAGATTAGAATCTCCGTTTTTTCTCTCTCAAATCACTCAATCTTAATCAATATGGAGTATCTCTTATCTCTCTCTCTCAAATCAAAGCCTATAGGGAAAATATAGGAAGAGGAAAGAATACTTCAACAACTCATCCCAGGGCCGGTCTTGAGGATTCATCAGCCTGGGCCGAAACAAAAAAAAGGCCCTAAAATTCTTTTATTTAATGATCTAAAAAATTCACATATGTAAACTAATTATATCTAAATAATAAATAACGCAATATTATTAAAAGAAAAAAATAAATGACAAAATTAAAGTGTTATAATTACATACCGTAAAAGCTAGCCGAGGATTCGAGAAATTATCCTTGCATTCTTGAGAGCAAATTGGTTGATCACATCTTCACAGTCTATGCTCTCTAAGATTTCATTCTTGATAGCTATTACCGCCAATCCACTAAGTCTATCTTGGGACATTGTAGACCGTAAGTAAGATTTCAAGAGCTTCAATTTGGAAAAACTTCTCTCTGCAGATGCCACCGTTACTGGAACAGTCAACAAAATTCTATATGCAATGCAAGCATTCTGGTAACAACCAAGTTCTTTTAAATGCTTCAAAACATCTATGGGATTGCTAAATTCACTTGTTTGCAATGTGTTGAATGATTTCAACTCCATGTAAAGCTCTTCGGCATCAATATCCGATCTTTCTTCAAACTTGAGTGCATTTTCAAGTTGATGGCAAAACAACTTAAGCTCTTTTTCTTCNATTACCGCCAATCCACTAAGTCTATCTTGGGACATTGTAGACCGTAAGTAAGATTTCAAGAGCTTCAATTTGGAAAAACTTCTCTCTGCAGATGCCACCGTTACTGGAACAGTCAACAAAATTCTATATGCAATGCAAGCATTCTGGTAACAACCAAGTTCTTTTAAATGCTTCAAAACATCTATGGGATTGCTAAATTCACTTGTTTGCAATGTGTTGAATGATTTCAACTCCATGTAAAGCTCTTCGGCATCAATATCCGATCTTTCTTCAAACTTGAGTGCATTTTCAAGTTGATGGCAAAACAACTTAAGCTCTTTTTCTTCAATTCCATTCAACTTATGTGGAAACAAAAACCCAAATAATCTCTCATAGTCTTTGAATTGTTCAAATCTCATCTCAAGAGAAGATATGGCTTTATCCACAACATAAGAGAAGAAATTGACCCTGAAATTCTCTTCATTTGTAAATGAAACTTCTTCACTACTTGAACTCTCATCAACTCTTTTTTTCCTTCGAATCAAACGCTTTTCTGGAAATATCGGAGGTATGTCCATTTCAGCAGCTATTTCCTTTGCTTCATCAATTGCTTTTGAATAACCAGTTTCTCTATAACCCTTGAAGTAGTTAATCAATCCATTTATCTCTTTAATAGAAATATCAAGATGCATATCCTTTGATTGTAACTTCTTGCTCACTATATTTACCTGGTTTAATATTTGATACCAAAAACTCAAATTCACTAAGGTTTTCTGCTAGTGACTTTGCTGTGTGAACAATTGTATTATCACTATCTTTTTCTTCAACTTCAAGCAAAGCTTCTCGTACATAGGCAATTTGCATTCTAATTGCCTTAATACTCTCAACACGGCTTTCCCAACGAGTTTGAGATAATGGCTTAAGACTCCAACCTTTAACATTATCTTTCAAAATTTGCCACCGATTAATTGAATGTGCAAAGATAGTACAAATTTTTTGGATGACTCCAAAAAAATTCTTCCCTTTAACACAACTCTGAGCCATATCACATAATGTAAGATTAAGAGAATGACAACCACAAGGAGTGTAAAATGCTCTAGGATTGACATCCAAAAATCTTTTTTGAACTCCTTGATGTTTTCCTTTCATATTTGCCCCATTATCATAACCTTGACCACGAATATCATCAATTTCAAGATCAAGAGACTTTAACTCCTCAATTGTGACATCAAATAATCCTTTTTCTGTGGTATCATTAACATTCAAGAAGCCTAAAAAAGACTCTTCCACAGTAATAGAATTACCTAAGAAGTTTAAATACCTCACTATCATACTCATCTGCTCTTGGTGACTTGTATCAGGGGTACAATCAAGTATGATTGAGTAGTACTTGGCTTCATTTATCTTCTTGATGATCTCCTTCTTAGTCTCTTGGGCTAAATCAAGTATGAGTTCATTCTGGATCTTGTGCCCGAGATAATGCACATGAAGCTCATCATTTGTGATTCGGCGCATATGCTCTCGAATAACTGGATCAAACTCTTGTAACATCTCAATGAGACCCAAGAAATTTCCATTACCTGTTAAAAGTAAACATAATTAAGAAACATTACACTTTATGAAAGTGGAACATTTAAAAGTAAAACATTTTTAACTCCTTACCTTTTTGATACAATCTTTCTTTTGAGCCACGGAATGCTAAATTATGTTTAGCCAAAAACTTCACTATTGCTATGATTCTGAAAATGACTTGTTTCCAGTAATCTCTTTCTTTCTTGAATTGCTCGTGCTGAACTTTATCAACTGTTTCATTTATCTTCAATCTTTTACGCATATCAAGCCATCTATTCACATTGGAGAGATGATCCATTGAAAGTTCGTGTTCTTTGACTCTTCTATGAGCATGGTGCCAATCTGCATAACCTTCACCATCCAATTTTCCTTTCGGAATTCCTGTTCTAAACAGTTTAGAGCAGAAACAAAATATCTTGTCTACTTCTTTCGAATATACAAGCCATTCTCTATCACACTTCTCCATATTTGGTAAAGTTTTTGTATATAATGCTGCATAAAAGCGTCTACCATTTTGTTCATCTTTGTCGTATGGGCCATAGTGAATACTATGATCTCTTTTTGGACCTTTCTCCACTAAAAGTTTAATCTCTTCAGAATTAAGTCCTTCCCATCTTCTTGGATCAAATATATCAACAACAGTATGCACTACACTAACCATAGGCTCAAGATGTTCTTCTGCCTCTTCTAAATTTTCTTTCTCTTCTTCTAAATGTTCATCGTCTTCGACATGTTCTTGCTCTATTTGTAGATGCTCTTGCTCTTCCATCTCTTTTACTTCTTCTACTTCTTCGTCTTCAACAACAGGTTTCATAAACTTATATAGAGCTCCGGCTTGAGATTTTCTCATTTTCTTCATCTCGTTTTCTCTTTTTTCTTTTTTGACTACCGGATAATTGTTTAGGAGCCATAGCTATTGAATTATTTCTGAAATAAAATCCAAAATCATAAATTCTACTAAGTAAAATCAAGAATAAAAAACTGAAAAAAACAAGCAAACAAACAAATAAATAAATATATCATTAATTAATATCAATTCGTCAATTTTTCCTTTTTAAATTGTTTTTTTATATTTCAGTTTAATTTTTTTATAAATCATAAATTCATATCAATTCAACAATTTTTCAGTTTTTAATTTTTTTTTTCAGTTTTCAATTTTTTTTAATATAAATATATAATTATCATAAATAACAAATTCAAAACAATTCATCCAAATCAAATAAATAACATATATATAGAACCATTCATTCAATCTATCTCAAAGAATGAAATTAGAAAAGATTTCAAATTTAAAACTAATAACTAACCCTAGATTTTAAATCTAAATAATGAAACAATGAAAGAAAATTTAAGATTTAAGAAATAAAAATTACAAAATTGGAAAGGGAAAGCTATGAATAATTACCTGGAGGCGGCGACTCAATCGGCGGTGGCTGGTTCGTCACTTGACTCACTTCGTGTCNAATTCATCCAAATCAAATAAATAACATATATATAGAACCATTCATTCAATCTATCTCAAAGAATGAAATTAGAAAAGATTTCAAATTTAAAACTAATAACTAACCCTAGATTTTAAATCTAAATAATGAAACAATGAAAGAAAATTTAAGATTTAAGAAATAAAAATTACAAAATTGGAAAGGGAAAGCTATGAATAATTACCTGGAGGCGGCGACTCAATCGGCGGTGGCTGGTTCGTCACTTGACTCACTTCGTGTCTTCGTGAATGCGATCGGGCAGAATGGGGCAGGCAATTTCTTCCGTGTTCCGTAATCCGTAGTTTCGTTCCCTTCTTTTTTTGGTCTAAGACTATTGGGCCTGTGCTTATACATACATACATACATACATACATACATACATACATACATACATACATACATACATACATACATACATACATACACACACACACACATATATATATATATATTACTAAAAAAAATTTGTGCCCCCAAATTTATTGGGCCCGGCCCGACTGGCCACCTTGTCCCCTATATGGGCCGGCCCTGACTCATCCCTCCAAGCTTCCTCCTGCTTCAGCTAGAGCCAGCTCGAGGAGGATAGTAGACAGTAAAATTAAGTATTCCTATTTATGCTAAATGTATTTTAGTTAATTTTCATACTCTATTTCTAGTTTTGTTAGAAGTCTCTCATATTTATAAGTTACCATGTGTTTCATTGTATAGTGAGCAATATTAATATAATATTTCAATATTCCAATAGTTTGTACACCCCCACTTGTAAGAAAAGTATGAAATTATAAGTAGAATCTCTTATTACTCTAAGGGGGGTGTATTCAATCAGGATTCTGAATGATTTTTCTGGATTCTGAAAATCTGTAGGTATTCAATTTAGATTTTAAAAAGTCATTTAAAATCTGGGTGTATTCAACTCAGATTTTAAAAAGTCTTTTAGAATCTGAATGTATTCAATTCAGATTTTAAATTATCTTTCTAAATTTAATGGTATTTAAAAATTAATAGACTTTAAAAGATTTTTATAAGTTATGGATTTTGATGGATTTTGGGGTGTTAGGTATAAATTAAAATCCAAGTTCAAATCTCACAAAAAATGTAGAGATTTTACTGACTCCACAACTGGCCTTTTGTGGCCTTTCATCTACTTCGTCTTCTCCTTCCGACTTTGTTCACGGATTCTTCTTCTTCTTCTATGGACTTTTGGACAAAGCAATAACTTAGATCTAGATTGCAGAGGGAGGGGTGTTTCGCCGATTGACCGTGACAGACCAGGCACCGGTTGCTGTGTGTGCGGCTATCTTTGGATGTTGACGGTGCTGCCAGGGAGGAGAGATGCGGCGCCGAATTGGCTGTGTGTCTATTGTCTGATGCGGCGTCGGTTGTTACTGCCTTTGTCGGTTCTCAGAGGTTGACGCGGAGAGATGATTGAGTGCTGGTCTGGAAGTTGTTGGCCGCCGAGTGGGAATCGTAACTGACCTAAGGGATGACCTAAGGGAGTGTAGAATGGAGATCAAAATTTCCAAAGAAATCCATGGAATCTATAAAATCAATAAAAAAAGTATGACAAACTCTACATGGTCTATGGAATTTCTAAATTCGCTAACTTTTTAGAGTCTGAAAAAATCCAATACAATCTCAATTGAATACACTAGGGTAAATGTGAAATTCTTGTCGCTTGTGGTTTAATTTGTTAAATTTTTGACGTAATCTTAAAGTGTCTGAGTTTTATTACTCCCTCCGTCCCGAAAAACCTTTCTCCTTTCTTTTTTCATCCGTCCCAAAAAACACTTCTCATTTCTATTAAAAAGTGACTTTTACCCCTTACTTTTTTATACCCCGACCTATCACATCATACATTTTTACTAATAATCTATTCATCAAATCATACTTTTACCCATCACATCAAATGACATTTTTGGAAATTCAATACCAAAATACACTCCCTTAAATCCCTCTTCAAAATCAAAACTCCCATGTTTTCTGGGACGGAGGGAGTATTTTTTTCTATATACCAATATTTAAATAAAATAAATTGAAAAAATTTAACATTTTACTTCGTTTTGTACAATGTGAAATTCTTCTTGGAACGGGAAGAGTATCAATTAACATTGCAATAATAAGAAGAAAAAAAAGTCGGTACATGCCCTAATTAATAGACAACCCTATCGACAAATAAAGTTGAGTTGGTGCATGCATGTTAGCATGTACTCCCTTCGTCCGCAAATAAACTTTATATTGCGCGTTACGATGTTTGACTGAAGTTATTTTCAAATCATTTTATATGAAAAATGGTGTAGAATTGAAAAATAAAATTACATATTAAAAAACTATATCAAAAGATCTACAAAACTAGAGGTGACATGACTATATTATTTTATCAAATAGGCGACGAAAATAGACCAACAAAGTGAATAAAGTTTGACCATATGAATAGTGAATGTAAAGTTTATTTGTGGACGGAGGGAGTATGTATGTGTATATATGATGATGATTGCATGATGGGTAAGGTGTGTGGCACATTCATTTTGGTTTCCTAGGAGGGGAACTTTTTGATGGTGGACAACAAATGTGTGGATTGTTACATTACTTACATACATACATACATACCCACGAAGTAGAGTGAGTATTAATGACTAATATATTAAAGATGTTTGGCATCAAATCAAAATAATGCAAAATGCTAGCTCCACTCTGCAATATTATTATATTTTCACCATGCATGTATATAGCGTAGGTGTGAAGAAGATTCCATGTACCTGTCCGGGTGAGTGAGCTAGCATGCATGATATGCATTCCGTACGTGCAGTCATGGGTTAGCTGCAGTGATACTTAAAATGATGTCTAAAAATTAAATTTACATTTCTTTATAGCTTTACTTTCTTATTCAAGAAAGAAATATGTTGTTCACCCAGCGTGAAACAAATATTAATCACATATTTTTCGCTTTTTCAATAGATGATTGACATATATACAGACGATAAGCATCTGTGTTTTCTGAAAATTATAACCGTCTGCGTATGTAAGTCATCCGTGGGGGCATTCGTGGTGGAGTTTTAGCATTTTTGTTCTAAGTTTTCATATATGTAAATTTGAACTTCAATATTACTACCTTCGTTCGAGTGTATTTGTCCAGTTTGACTTTTTCGAGTCAAATTGGACAAACTTTGAATTCCAATTACTCTCAATTTATATTGCATATTAGCATAATAAAATACAATTTTGAAAGTTCTCAATACGATAAATCCAATAAATTCATTTAATTTTTATGTTAAAATACATTACGGTTTTTATTTAATTAAAGTTCAAAGTTTGTCCAGTTTGACTCGAAAAAGTCAAACTGGACAAATACTCTGGGACGGACGGAGTATTTGAAAACGGAGATGAGGATGTAAATTTACATTTCTTTACTTTCTTCTTGAAGAAACAAATATGTGGTTCAATTTCCTCTCTTTCAAATAAATTTAATAACAAAGGTAAATTTAAAGCTTAAACTCTACGATTCTTTCAACTTAAATGTGGTTCTATCTCTTTCAAATAAATTTTGAAAAACGGAGTAAATTTAAAGTTTAAACTCTATGACTCTATTAATTTTCACATGTAAATTTAAAGTATAAGCCCTATGATTCTTTCAAATTAAAAATGGAGGTGAGGACATATTGTATGTGAACTTAGAGCATTGGAAATACGTATGAAGCCCCGTGGCTTTAAACCGGGGCATCAAACTTTCTCTCTCTGCCACGTCAGCTTTAACTTACACAAAAAATTTACTGGAAATGGGTTTGAATCCCCGGGGCTTCAAACTGGGGCTTCAAACCTTCATTTTATTACATTTTTAAATATACATCTTCTAAATTTAAATTCATAAATTTAAATTAATTTATTATTTAAATTAATCGCAATGAGAATAGTGTATGAAAAAAATTACATTTATTAAAAAAATATTACATTCATAAAAAAATACATTCATTAAAAAAGTTATATTCATTAAAAAAATGACATTAATAAAAAAATTACATTCATTAAAAAATATTACATAAAAAAACAACAATACAAAGAAATCACTAATTATTCGAGCGACTAAAGATATGTTCGATCAAATCCGCCGTTAGTGCATTGTGAATCTCTCGGCGGTTTCTTCGTTTCTTTTCTTCGGTGATTTCTTCGTACACAGGCACCTTCTCGTCTGGGTTGTATTGACAAATCGCAGTCCCGTTATCCTCTATAATCATATTATGAAGAATAATACATGCGTACATGATATTCCTCATTTTTGTTTGAGAATAACATTTCGACGGACGATCTAGAATGTGCCATTTGCTCTTCAAGACCCCAAAGGCTCGTTCAATATCTTTTCTCGCCGCCTCTTGAGCTTTTTTGTAGGTCTGGCGTTTAAGACCCATTGGTTCGGAGAGGGATTTGACAATCATGGAATAATCTGGATATATTCCATCGGCCAAATAATATCCACGCTTGTAAAGCGTCCCTCTAAGCTCAAAAGAGGAGTCCGGAGCGGTCTCATTAACCCAATCGTTAAAAATAGGCGATTGATCGAGAACGTTGATGTCGTTGTTCGAGCCCGCGACACCGAAGAAAGCATGCCAAATACACAAGTCATTCGAAGCAACAGCTTCGAGCATGATGGTAGGCTTGGGATGATCTCCCCGAGAGAATTGACCGTGCCACGCAGTGGGACAATTTTTCCATTCCCAATGCGTGCAATCATCACTCCCAAGCATGCCGACAAAGCCGTGTTTAACGGCATGCCTTGCCTGCAACTGCTGGATGTCGCTCGTTGTAGGCTTGCGTAAATATCTTTTATGATAAATTTGAATAATAGCTTTTGAAAATTTATAAACACAGGACCTGATGCTCCGATCCGACATCTTCAAGTATTCGTCGAACATATCAAATGTCGTCCCGTACGCCAACTGACGGAGCGCGGCAGTGCACTTCTGGACGCTACTAAACCCGCATCGGCCTCTCGCATCAAACCGTTGGGTGAACCAAGGAATCTCGTGTTCAACATCGGCGAGTATGCGTAAAAAGAGAGGACAACTCATCCAAAAACGATTACTAAAATCCTTCGGTGTATAAACACACGGATTATTAAAGTAGTCGTTTAGAAGTGAATTGTGGGCGGCCGCTCGATCCCGGTTTAAACGTTGTCGTCGGGAGGATTCGGCTTCTTCTTCTTGGCCTTCTTCTCACCATTGAATACAATTCGTGGCGAAACAACGAAAAAAGAGAGCTCTTTTTTTCATCGTCGGATGAAGATGAACCCATTTTTAAAATATATTTTATAAATATTTATAATAAATAATAAATATTTTAGAGAGAATATAGAGAGAGATGTGTGAGAGAGTGATTTTTTAGGGGAATTTATAGGTTTTTTTTTTAAAATTTGATATTTTTTTAATTTGGGAGGGGAAATGGCTATATAGCCGTTGGGTGGAGGTAACGGCTAAATGGAGGGGATGCTGCGCGTCAAACGAATGACGAAGACCCCATCACGCCCGTATCCACCGAGGGGGGGCGGTGTTTAACACCCCCCGACACAAACAGCGTATCACGCCGGTGGGCGTGAGGGGTAGTGTCAGTCAAGGCAGCCCATATAATGAGGAGGTCCCCATCAAGTAGGCCTTTCCCCAACGGCCCAACCATTATTAACTCTAAAAGGATACTCCCTCCGCCCAATTTGATTACAAATTGTGAGTTACAGAGTAAAATTTTCTACTTTTTAAAATTATTTTATTTATAAATTGGTACATTAATAAGATATAAAAATTACATATTAAAAAACTACGTCAAAAGTTCTACAAAACAAGAGGTGACAAGAATATTTTATTTTATCAAATACTTAATGAAATCGCGTAAACAAACAAAAGTTATCAAGAGGAGACAAAAAAAATGGTAATCTATTTAGGGACGGAGGGAATAGGATATATATACCCTACACTTATCCGACACAGCCACCCTTGTCATTTTCCGTTTTTGTGCTCCCCTTTGTAGAAAGTGTTAGAGCAATTCTAGTAGTTGGGCGCTGCACAAATGAGAAGCCGAGAAGGGTTATAAACTTCTAAATATTTTTCGATAATTTTATATAAATATTTTTTATTCTTTTTCCTCAGATTCTTTGAACCAAACATAGTGTAAAGGAATCCGTGATCCGAACCCAAAACTGAATTTAATGTGAAATTAGATCCAAAGAAATATGATGTCAGATAATTGAAGGAAAAACACACATCTTCGGTACGCGCCCTAGTAGACTTCACACTGGGTGGGTTTGTTCTTGGTACATTTGTGTTATTAAGCAACCTCAAGGCTGTGTTGCTTCCAACAGCTTCCCATAAACTTGCCTAGCAGTCAAATCCTCTACCTGGTTCAGTGAATGAAGCTGTTTGTTAGCATGGTAACAAAAAAGAAAATAGGGATTACGCATTTTGGCCCTGTGCTCATTCACAAATTCCGAAAGACACCATGATGGCACAAGGGATTGGGTTTCACGAGGAATTGCAAATCCGGTAAGCAACGAGACAAAGGTATAATGAAGGGAAAGAAAAACATTCTCCAATAGTTCTACACTTCTACCAGTGGGAAAAGTTAACACCTGACTTCACATGGGCCTCAAAAATGGAATGACAACCGAAGGAATCGAAAATCCATATATTTTTTCTTCATGCTCATATGTAATGTATAATTCGTGTAAACATTATTCAGATGCTCAACTAACTCTACGTGGCTTGGTGCATCAGGAATTTGAAACATATTTGTAACATACCACAAGAAGCTTAGATTTGCTATTCCAACCTCTTCGGAGAGTCATTTGGGATAGTTTAAGACCCAAGACCTGTACCAAAACAGAGGAAGCCGCAGAGAAGGTTAGCTACGTAACCCATTTCATATCTTTTACTAGCCTCGCTCCAAAAAAAGAGTCATGCTTAATCTAGATGCAACTTTTAAAATTTTAAAATTTTTAGAGGGGTAAAACAATCAGAACGAATAAACTCTAGCTATGATTTCAATGCTATTTGTTGGTTTAGCTAAATATAACACATGTAACTTGTTTGAGGCAGTTTTTTTACTCCTCCGTCCCAAAATGGATTACACTCTTTACTAATCCATCACAATAAGTTTGGTTTACTTATTTGTTTTCATTGATTATTTGATAAAATAAAAAATTCTTTTTTTTAAATAAATATGCAATGCAAGTTTGATTTTTTATTTATATACCAATTTAAAAAGATTTCAAAAAACAGAGTTTTGCCTCATAACTCCCTCCGTGTAATTCATTTAGTGACGGAGAGAGTATTTGGGGAAATTTCAGTATTCAAAGAGTTCTTTTTCTGGGACAGAGGGAGTATATAATCCAGCAACAGCAACAATTAAATATACCCTGCCCATAAATTCTAGAAGTTCATTGTTAGCTTCCCCACGAGCAGCAGGTGCCGTGACAGTGACCCTAACATCATCAGCATTTACTCCTGAAACAACACATAAATACAGATCAATTTCTTTCTAACAGATGTATTGATTAGTTTTGTTAGAAAATTTGGATAAAACAGCCAATCTCATAAAAGCACACACACACAAAACCACAATGCCCCCCTCCAAATCTTTAACCATTGTCATCCCAAAATGCCATATTGCTCCGAATTGATGTTCTAGGAGGAAAATAGCTTATCATTCTTCTAAAAACCACCTCCACTTCTTAAAAAAGACAGCCATTGTTTAATTACATTATCTATTTGTCAGTCTTCATTTTGATCACTCATCTGTCTTTCCTCAAATCTGCAGGTACATCCTCCTCTCCACTAGACTTCACTAAGGTAATACTTCATAATTCAAATGTGCATATTTAAAACGTCAAACAAGACTTTACAACCCTCATTGTATCAAGAACTTGATTGACCCCATTTTTCTTTGTAAATTTGCACTGATATAGTGTTGCTTCAAGAATATTTTCACCATATTATTGGATATAAGAAGCCACAGCATCAATATTAAAGCATGTAAATAAACACCAGCTTCTTCAGTGGTTGTTTGGTTAAAAGTCTACAGTTATTAAGGAGGATTGATCCTCTAATCGCTCATATTGTCAAATCCAATGAACTAAATACCACAGAGCGATAATAATCTACTTTGGGATTCTTTCCTAACTTCGCCACATCTAACCCATAGCTAGTATGGAATTACACCCTCCGTCTCACACTCACTATCTTTGGGATGTGAGGAAGCAACAAGCATATTAAGGAAAATTGGAATCGATATGTTAACTGTTAAGTATGGATACAGTAAGGATGATTTTGAACCACACAAATATTGCCTACAGGGAATGGGAAATAGATAGTGGGACGAACGGAAATGGTAAAAAACTAAAAAGGACAAAGACACTGGGACAGAGGGAGTATAAACATTTAGGGTTGTGTACTAACAGGGAAAAAATTTCAAGAAAATGGAAAGCATGCTTACTTTTAATGTTTTCTAAATTCAGAGAGAAAAAAAGAAAAAACAGAGAATATGTTTACTTTTTCTATTTTCCAAATTCAGGTAACAGAAATATGTTCTCCAAGTTTTTAGATTTTTAACTTCAGAAACCTAAAAAATGAATTTTTAATGTTGTCCAAAATAGAAACAATTTTCCAATGAATAATAATAACAACAATACTAAGAATAATACTCTCTAATACGAAGTACTAGATTTCAGGGGCAAAATGAAAGAAAAAAAGAATTATGTTTGTGCATGTAACACAAATCTTGCGCAACTTAACAATTTTAAATGCAATAACATCAACGGGCAGTGAAAGACACTAGACAAACGAACTGCAAAGATAAAAGCAAATGCAGATATACTTGTAATTGCTGAACGTTGTGCACGGTCCTCCACTTCTATTGCCACTTGAACAAGACCCCCTTCTAACTGTGATATGCAGGGTGGCACAGGGGCATCCTACAGGTTTGACCAAATATCCTGAGTTATAGGCCTCAACATACTTCTTTATCATTAAGAGCAGCTAAAGAAGTGAAGCACAAATGCAGGCAAAATTCCATACTTTTTGTCCTAAAAGTGGGATTTGCACCAAGAGGATTAAACATATGTGCAGAATGAAGTACACAATGAGCAATAGATACACACTAGGGGTGCTCCACAAAAAGAGGGAAAACACACACACACACACACCATTGGAAATATAGCCATTGCTTTCTTACTTTCAAATCCAAATAACCCATGGGTTAAATATTTCATAAACCACATTGTACCAGGAGGCACAGTCAAGATTTATTGAATTCCAAAAAAATCCTAAAACATCCACATAAATTCCATGTGTGCATATTAAAATTAGCATTTCAAGAATTAACAGTTACATGGTCATTTATTTTAAAAAAATGTCTGAATTTTTTAAAATAGTCTACCTTACCATCAAAGTACAATGTAAGATTGCATTTCTATTATCTCCTAAGTTTAAGGTGTTAGTCACTAAAACTACCATAGAAATGATTTGACAAATGAAAACAAAACCATATGGCATTTTCAACTTCATGTGCTGTTATGATGATTTTACTTTTTATGCAAATAAACACAAATCAGTTGCCAAAGATAATGAAAACCACCCATAAATATTACCACATTATACCAAAGAAATGATACATTGTAACGAAAATTTGTACTTGGTAATGATAAGCTTTAATCATTTATGCCCTTCAGCATTAAAATCAAACATGTAATTGTCAATAATAAACCTAAACATTTGAAGCGTAAATAGTAGGTCTCATGGCTTTCAGTGGACAGATAATGGGACTATGGAATGTTTGAGATCACTTTTGCAAAAGTACTAAGCAGGTTTGAACTTGCTTTTGACTTATAATACTGAACTTAAAGTAGAAAATAAGGTAGCAGGTAGATACTTGTTTTGGCTTATGGGGTTTAAACTGCTTAAACTAAACAATAAACATAAATATAAGATTGTTTACCAAACACCAAAAATGTAAAAGCAACTTAAAATAAACTGCTTAAACTAAAGACTAACCATAAATATTAGATACTGTAAAGAATAAGCAACTCATTACATGTGGATTTGTTTCAGCAGCAATAGTACTAAGTGCACCATCGACTACATAGATAAAGGAGGCTGACTCCATATCGGATTCTGCACGATAGCATACAAAGAGGCCACACCCCTTACAATTCATGCGGAACTGCTTCTCCAATTTCCCTTCACCACTGTAAAACAGAACCACCAACAAGTTTTAGCTTGGCAAAAAAATTGCATTAACAAATGAGCAAGGCAAAAAGGTTCCTCAAGGTATCATATATCACATAATGTAAATGCACTACCACCTATCAGTAGCAAATAACCATCAAACATTTAACTAACATTCCTACATACTTTCCCTGTCCATTAAGAGGTTTAGAGTTTGACTTCACAAAGTTAAAGGAAAGTGTTGAAAAGTAAAAATTATATTGTTAAAACTTGTTTAGAATAGAGAGAAATGTTATGACTGATGACCCACATACTCCTTCCCTAAAAAGGTAATGGGATAAGTATTTAGTTTATTTTGGGAGTGACAATTACAGAAAGTGTACACACCATTGTGGGACAGAGGGAGAATTTCTCAACAGAAAGATAAAGGTATTAAATATGATAGCACCACATTAACATGTTGTCAATCCATATGGCCTCATGGGGTTGAGACACATGAAAAGACATAACTACATAAGTAAGAGGTAGCATGAGTGATGAGTTATTATAATAATTACAAAATTATCATATTTCCGACCCTGGTATACATCATTTCCCCTCTTTTTAGTAGAAAAAAAGCTATAAAATCAAAACGTGGAATTTAAATTTAAGAGAGAGAAACAAACGAAAGGTACCTGGTAAGTACCAAAAAATCAGCATGAGAACCTGGTGCTCAAATGAAGAGCTACCTCTATTTTTTGAGATTGGGTTTCAAACAGGCCATATTATTCAAGTACGCATAAAATTAATGCTTGACTCTAAAAATAGAAGTTTCCAAACTTTCAAAAGTTGCTACGTTTCTAGATTTCCAAATGGTGAAAAAAATGACCAAGGGTATAGAACTATACAGACTAGATCTTTTTTGGAATTCTTTCATGCAAACTTTGTCATACCAATATTCATCTTGCATGGTCATTGATGTCTCACCCAAGACGACCAATTAATACAAAACGAAACATTAGTCGAAGATCATAGATGATCAACCAAACTACCATGAAGCAATAGATGACATACAGCCTTTAAGAACCCTTATTAGGCCATTGTTTTGCAAAGAACTATGATGCATGTGTGTGTTATAAACTTATAAAAAATTTGGTACCATATAAGTGCCTACCAGGCATATAAAATAAACAGCTGATTACCGCTTCAGGAGAACTTTTCCCGCCTCATCAACACTCAATCTAGCAAGATACTTCTTCTTGTCAAGCACATAAGCATCGTCAGTTTTCCTTTTGGGCATTTTCTGCAATTGGTTATCTACAAGCACTTTTTAGCATGTAGAGACACAATAGCAATCTAACAAGAACTCCTTAGAGAAGAGATGAGTATCTAGTTAGATTATTACTATTCTCAATAATTTCAAACCAGGTTTGGATGATTCTTTTTCTTCAATCTACATTGTGACAGTTTGAGACTATGCGAATAAATTCTCATTACAAACAGTTGAGGATATTCAAGAAATCCTGGTAAAGACGGTTGGAGACATCCGTATTCAAATATCTGAAAGCAGTTGAAGACGTCCATTGTCAAATCTTCATTAGTAGGTTGGAGATAGCCATTGGAAATCTCTAGGTTGAAGATAGCCTCTCATCCAGTATTTCTTTTTTTCTTTTTTTCTTTTTTTTGCGGATATGTACCTATACCTTGCTTATTCAGTGAAGAGTGAAGACACTTTCTCCTTTATATCTCTGTTTCCTTTTGCTACTACACTTACAGTTGTCTGCAACAATAGCGTTTGAGCTTTTCTACAGAAACAAGCCTCCTCATTATAGGCGTCCTATTGCCCACCCACTAAGCTTTCGAAATCAAAACTACCAGTAGCTATCACTTCTCTTTCTTGTAATTATAGCACTTCTCCACAATCATTCTGGTGCAGGGAAGGAGAAATGTAAAGCTTGCGAGCCATGTTATTCCTCCTTCACAGAAACCATAATAGAATCCACTTAAGCACCATACTGGAATGATTTCTCTCCGGAGGTTTTTCCTTGCCCGCTCATGTAAATTATATGCCTATAACTGTTTCTCAATTTCCTTTTTGCCTCATTCTGATGATATGAAAACGAACACTTGTATGGGCTAACTACCCACGTCAATTCAAAACATACCTTACCTTTCAATAAACCAATAGAGAATCACCAAACCAGCAATGAACTTATTATTCTGATAATGCATGTGTAATCGAAGGCTAATTAACTCCAAACATGCTAAACAACTAATAGATTAGGGAATCTAGGGACCATATTGAAGCATCTAAGGAAACAAATTGATGAATGTAAGAAGTGCAGGCACAGTTAGAGTTCATACTGCAATGAGAATCGCAGAATCCAACTGGAAATCGGAGAAGATATAGCAAAAAAAGGAAAGGGGGGAAAAGAAAAAGAGAGGAGGGTCGGTCGCACCAGTGATGAGGACATGGCAACTGCAGTGCTTGCAGTAATAGACGAAGAGATCGGAGTCGGGCGCCTCTGGAGCGGCGTCTTCGCTGGAATACGTGTGGGTCGTCCTCTTCGGCATCTTCTCTCCTCCTCAACACCAATGTCGCCTCGGCTCTTATCGGATGGATACTCCTCTAGTCAAGTTTGAGAGCTACCATAATTCATAAACGTTTCTTCTTTTTTCTTTTTTGTTTTTTATTTATTACTCCCTGCCTTTTAAAATTTTTCTTCTAGATTATTTTTGTCAACTTATTTAAATTTTGATAACAAATTATCAAAAACACATTAAATTATTGTACAAATTCATTTTGAAGAGTGATGCTGTTGGATTTGTGAAGGAGAAAAATATGTGAAGAAGATGATGAATAGTATATATTGTGTAGAAGGGTATAAATAAGGGGATTTAGGGTTAGCGTTTGAGCCCATATACAAACTAATGGGTCGGCCCAACAGACCGGGCTGCCCCTTAATAAGTAATTAATGTACGACTAAAGGGCTGGTCCAACAGACTGGACCGCCTTGACTAACATTATATAAATACCGGATACCTCATGTCTAGAATATCAATAATGAATCCCCCACTTTCCGAGTCGAGAGGAACTCGAGGCGAAGTGGAAGTAGAACAATAATCCACCACAGAAGGACATTGTCTTCCTTGCTGTCTGGAGTGCACCACCAACTCGCTGTCCCGAGCGCGGTGAAGTAAAGCAAACATCGCCACAAGTCTGAGATGTAATGCAAGGGGAAAGAAGTAGTAGCAATCAGCACGAAGTGCACTGCCGACTCGCTGTCCGGAGTGGCAAAGTAAGAAACTGCACCCATGAGTACGTGGTGCACCACCGACTTGTTGTCCGGAGTGGCAAAGTGGAAAAGTCTGCACCAATTTGCTCATTGTCTTGAAAGGATCTGCTCTCGCGCAAAGGGCATCATCGGTTCGATGTCCAACACACAACGATCACCATAAGAGTGGGTGAGTGAGTCATCATCTGTAGTCCATTTGTCGTCTTCAAGGATCCTCTCACAACCCCGTCAATGTGTGACTCACTCTATGGGGGATGCCTTATTAAAACCTTGACGGGGAAAAAACTCATGAGGATGGAAGAAAAAAATCCTCGGTCTAGAAAAGAGCACATCTCGTCCCACAAGGTGAATCAAGAAAAACGTTATAAGGGTGTGAGGTCTCCGAGTAAAGGAATTGGGTCAATCTCAGAAGAGGCGATTTCCATGTCCCCCGGACTCGTTGTCCGGAGTCAAGGACTATTCGTCATGGTGTATTGCCAAAGAGTGCATGCCGGCACGAACTACTATAGTGCAATGTTATGTCGAGATGTTGATTTGCCAAGCTCTCACTGTGTGCGATGTAACAATCACGAGCCAAGTACCCTGAGTCCCCCACTCATTAAGCCGAGGAAGAATTCGAGGTGAAAGGGAGTAGTGCTCAACTGCCATGCTCGAATCCAGTGGGAGTCTTGGGTCTCCTCGCTCTGTTACGACTTCTCTTCATTATATTGATTTACCTAAAAAAATCTCATGCAAAGGTAGATAAACTAATGAGCTTGGCCACGCCGCCTACCCTGTGAGTAGTTAAGGTTGTGCCTTAGAAAGTGCGCGAGGAGATGTGCCTTGAGAGGAAACTGAAGAGTGCCTCGGGAAGAGGGCTTTGGATGCCTCGTGGGACGAGGACTTAAATGCTTTGCGAGGTGGCTGAGGTCGACCTCCCAAAAGGGCTGAGTGCCTCGTGAGGTGGTTATGTCAAACTTTATTCATTTTCTTTGTCTATTTTCATTAGTCATTTGATAAAATAATATAATCATGTCATTACTAGTTTTGTAGACATTTTGATTTAATTTTTACATCTGTAATTTTTTATTTTAGTTCTACTTCTACGCAAAGTTACATATATAAAATAATTTTAAAAATAATTTTAGTCGAACATAGTAAACCGAAAAGATGATTTAAATTGATACAGAAGAAGTATTATTTTTTTATCATTACAGAGTATTATTTTATTAAAGTATAATTGATGATTAAAGTTCATTTAATTTGACTCAAAAAAATTAAACCGAAGAATATATTAGGATGGAGGGAAGAATATTAACGATTAAACAAAAAAAGAGGTCATTCAAATACGAGCAATTGATAGTCCAATCCAAACTCAAAAAAAAAAGATTAATATCCTACACCGGTATAAAAATACCCAAGCCACTGCTGAATTGGCGGCAAACTTGCTTTATAACATACACAACCCCCCTGCCTCTCCCTCTCTCTCTCTCTCTCTCTCTTATGGAGTGGAATCCACCATATGACTCCCATGAACACAGCTTGATATTGAGAGCCAGCCAGGCCATGTAAAAAGAAGGTAAGCTTGCTATTGATACTACTTAGCCAGGCAGGCAAATCATGGCAGGCAGCCAAACAGGTAAGTATCCCGTGTAGATTGAATCATCAACCAAAAGTCCAAACATTTTTACATTCTCCCATCATCTTGATGCCCGTTCTCGTGAGTCGGACAAGATGTCATCCACATCCTTAAAAAACGACCATTTTTCCCGGCTCTTGGTATCATTCTTGGTTTCCTGCTACAGGAGAAAAGGAAACAATCATCAGATCAATGAATAGGAAATGACAAGTCAATGGCCATTGTGGAAGTGAGAAAACTTCTCAAATCAACCAAACTTTGGAAACTAAAATGTGCATTATTACTGTGAGAATATCTAAATGGGCCGAGAAGCAATGACCTCGTATTTTTGAATAAGAGAAGCCCACAGAGATTTGCACTGTCCAGGACTTCGAGCGATTCCATCAGATTCGAGACGTGAAGATATCTCCTGCCAAAGAGCCATTCGCCCCTTTTGGACTTGGAATGTGTTGTTCAGTTCGCCACGCATTTTAATCAGCTTCTTAACCTCTTCAGGTTTCCACTTGTTTCTTTTCAAGGGTTTCGAAGATTCCGGTTTTGGTTTTGAAAAGTCAGAAGGAAGTTCATCATTTTTGCTATCGTGTACTTGTTCTTGGAGAAGGTCGTCATGAATGGGCGATGATACGACAGAAGGTTTCCGTAAGTCATCTGACACGGCATCATCCATAGATAAATCTTGCAATGTGTTAAAACTTGTGGTTTCTTCACCATATGTATTATCCCCTTGAATATCAATATCGGCCGCACCTACTCAAACACAATAAACCATGAAAACGGACTGCTATAAACTATGAATAATGAAAGTTATATAGAAAAACATATTTTTTTAACCTTAATAATAAAGATCAGCAACATAACTAAATCAAACTTCATATAATGTACACAAAATGTTTATATGTGAACAACAGACTAAGTTCCAACATGACATACCATGCCATGAATAGTTACTTGGATCCTGAGACCAACTCTCATATCAAACCAGTTGTGTAGTTCTCCCAATGTTTTACTTGAACACACATCGTTGAATTTACAAAATCTATAGACAGAAAAAGTCTAAATTGTAACCTATACACTTTATGCAGCCATGGGTTAAAATGAATATTTGATAGAATTGCTTGCTCTGCTACCAAAGTGGATCAAATGGCATGAATTGAAATATGAGTTAAAAAGGGAACATGCCCGTAAACTAAGTTAGGAGAAAGTCAATCCAGAGGTTAAGATCCAGGAACAGAGATTACACACCATAACACTGTGTGGCTGAAAGCTTGTGAGACCATCAATATACAAGAAAATTTGACAGTGACTTTCTATGTTTGACAGGGACCTAACCTTTTTCCTCATATGCAATGCTCATGGAATGCTCCGGGCCATTGTCCTCTTCTGCAAGTATTGTATTTGATGGCCCCCTCTTTCTGTAATTTCCATTTATGGCTTTTCCTAATGCTGAAACTCCAAAACCAGCATAAGATTTTCCTGATAGCTTATTACTGATTTCATCTGCTATGACACTGACAGGATTTTCTAGTGCAACTGCAATAACTTCAGGCCTTTTACTGCTGTATTTTCTCACTAGTTTCCTTAAAACTTCAGACACAGTTTTTTCGATATGGTGGAGAGGACAATTTACAGGACAGCTAGAGAGTGCAGCATGTGCAGCTTTTTGGAGTGCATCCAAAAGTTTTCCTTTATCATGCCATAGACAGCGTGTGGTGATTTTTATTTTTCCTTTAATGGATCTCTCAGACAGAGAATCATTGGTTTGGGGACGCATGATCTCCATACTGTAGCATAAACACTAACTAATATCAGGCTATCAGTGAGCAACAAACTAAAAAGACACACAAGATGAATAATCCATAAAGTTACCTGACAACTATTATACCATCTGAAGCAATTCTCATTCTCTCATCAACACAAAGTTCAGCAGCTGTACCAAATGCTTTGTCACCATCACTATACATTAACTGCACTTTGAAGCACTATTAGCAACACGATATCCATATTATTCTATTAGGTACTTGTATTTTAAATACTCAAATGTGATAAATGTATTTTGAAGTGCCGAACACCTGCAGATTCTCTTTACGCATGGAAATAAAACCATTGGATAAAACTCTTTTATTCCTCAAATGGGAAATTCCGAGCATCTCTCCGTTCTTGATAACCTGATGATCACAAGAGTAAAAATGTTTCACATAATGTACATAGATTTGAATAAATATTCGGCTGAAATTCTTCACCTTAAAATTCTCTTTATCCATATGCCGTTCATTTAGAATATATGAAATTAGTTTATAAAAGAAAACCACTGTAAACATTTTGCCATGAAGAAGATTTTAAAACGGCCCAAAAAAAGAAATCAGGAAGAAAATTTTAGGGCATGGAGTTGTACTCACTTCAGGTAACTTAGCAATATCTTGAGATACAGTAACAAAAAGTATAAAGAATAGAATGGGAGGTATTTCGTACAAAGATTCAATTTTTAGAAATAGAATAAGCCTAAGCAGATCAAATGATGCACTAATCAAAAACAACAACAACATTATCCCAGTGCCTCAATGGCTACGGCCCATTGCGGGGTAAGGGGGGGTCGGATGTACGCAGTCTGACCCCTATGTTTAAAACATAGAGCGGCTGTTTCCAGATGACCCATGATGAGCATCAAAAGTTGCATTAACTAACGCTACTTCACAATTGCAAGAAGCACAGACAGTTTAAAGAGCCAATTTGCTTTATTACATCATACCTCAAAAGATCATTAAAAATTATTGAAGATGTAAATATAGAAAAAAAGAAAATTGAACATTAACCGTTTAAAAAAACATTAAGCATTATGGAAATCCTTTTTTTTTGCAGGGGGTGGGTAAAAATTGTCTAAAAATAAGCATGGAGCCAGAGGACAACAAACTTGAGAAGGGTGTTGTTGATTCAATCCAACTTCTAAGTACAGTTGAGTGGTTGATGCCATTCAGATAAATTTAAGGGTGTTGCTATATCCACCTCTATTATGGGTATATCCACTCCATTTATGGGTAAATGGACAATTTTACCCTTAAAAACACAGAAGGAATATTAGATGTTAGCCAACTTTTAAGGGCAAATTTGTGCATTTTAGATAAATGGAGTGGATTTAGCCATAATAGGAGTGGATATAGAAACACAATGGAACATTAACCAACTAGCTCGGCATTAACCTCATCAGGATTGTTGAGTTCGCACATTGCAAATAGGACTTTGTTAATCAATATATAAATGTAGGATACCATCTCAACAATACGTTTGGTGTGAATGTTGTGATCATTTGCATTTCTTGGCACAAAATGACCCATGAAGTTAATGTTGATATTGCAAAAGCAAACCCTAGTAATTTAATTTAATCTCATAAGAAAAATATTTAAGCAAAAGAAGTATCTTAAGCATTATCTACTTGTTCGGAATAATAAAAAATATTCCCTTTTTTACAATTATATGACATTGTACCCCCAGCAAGAATTTTGGAATTCTCTGTGAAACACATTTGAAATCTTCATATTTTATTAAAGATGAATAAATGCACTTACAGTGCTGTGCCTGATTCCAGTTGACCTCCCAAGCAGTTCGTGCTCCTTCAGGAACAAAAATTCTCCATGAATCGGAAGAAAATGTTGTGGCTTCACAATTTTCAGCACTTCTTCCTAAAAATGTTGATTTCCCAATCAATATCAGCTAAGAATAAAATCTTATTCTTTTTGAGAACATATTCTTACTCTAATATGAATGGTTGAGTAAAATTGTAGACAATTGTAGTTTCTAATTTTACAAAAAAAAAAGCAGGAATTCATTATAATTGTCTCTTCTAGAAATATTGCCCAATATTAACAACATAGCACACTAAAAAAAGGCACTGGGGCATAAGTAATTCTATTGCTCCAAAACTACCATTTACTCCCCATCCCCACTTTCCTATTCAAAATTAGGACAAAACACTTATATAAAGGCAATTCCACCAGTCTGGATAAGAATTACATAAATGTGTGAGAGTGTGATGTCAAAAAAAAAATCACACAATACCACTTCCCCACCCCTCCCTAGAGAAACACACACACACACAGACACACACACACACACAACAAGAAGAAGATGTAATTTCACTCATCTTACTTAGGAGACATGATGAACAATGGTAATACAGTCAAGAATCAAGATACAACATGGCTCCTCATTCATGGCTCAGTATAATCCATAGAATAAAATCCAATCAAACAGCCGCCCACAGGTATGAGTTTCACTTCAAGTATAAAGAATTACCAACTCTTCACGGTGAGCATGGCCAGATGTATGCAGCTGTTCATTCTTGCCCATGATTACTGTTGACCCTATCTCAGAAATACGGTTTAGCATTTTCATTACCCGAGTCTCATTGCCAGGGATCACCTATAAGATAGATCACATTATTTATCATGTGAGTTGGAAATCCCCCAAATTTATTGCAGGGAAGGAAAAAACTCAGATCTTTTGTGTATAACACTTCCCAGAACAAACCTGTTTATAGCCCAATGACGTGCATATCATTCTAATAGGCATTATCAAATATTAATCCTTCCGTCCCAAAATAAACTATAAAGTGGGAAGTGACAGGCGTATTAAGAAAGTAAAACTATATGGTTGACATATATCCAAAAAGGCAAGAACAAATGTGAACCACACAATTCTTTCCTTAAAAGAGAAGTGAAGAATAGTGGCTTTTATATTGGGACGGAAGGAATAACCAAACAAAAGAATAAATATTTTCAATGTTATATAAACTGTAAATATAATCATCATAATTGTTTGTGTTCATTACCAATGGAGCTAAAAGAGTAACTTTTGACAAGGTTTTAGTTTCAAGTAAATAATGGACTAAATCAAAATGGCACATTAAAGACGGGCCGGTTCCGTTGCCACTGGGATAGTTCATATCCACTAACTCCCCACCCCCCAAACCCCCCTCTCCAGCCCCCCTCCAAATGTGTGGTGATTAGGCAATCACCACAGG